CTCCCCGTGGTCCCAAAAGGCGAAAGGTGCACCTGACCCCAAGCATGAACCCTTATAAACCCAGACACGACCCATGGGACTGGCATAAGCACCCCTGGCCTGATCGGTAGTCCTATGCCAGTCCCATGGGTTGTGTCTGGGTCAGGAAAATGGACAAATCCTTATGCCGATGGCCTCCAACCTAAATGAGGCAACAGTTGGATGATTGGATGAATGCAGTAACAGTCACAATGACCCCAAATTCCGGCCAAACGGGTCCCATGAAAGGTGAACGGACCAGAACATGTGTGAACCACATTCAACAGCATGGTGTTCGAACCTGCTTCTGGCTCATGTCACCTGGTGGTTCAAGAGTCGGGTGAAGCTGTACCACATTGATGTTGAAAACCCCTACCTCATCGGTCCTGCTTTCTCCTGAATGAACTGTGAATGCAAACAGTCGATAAAACTCTCGCGGGGGAAACATTGCAAACATGCAAACTGTGAAGTGGGTGGATGTCAAAAACATTTAATTCATTTAGCATGCAACACAACCACTGGCCTGGTCACTACTGAGGCCAGTTTCTACAGTCAAGGTTGTTGTTGCCCTCCCCTGCTTCTTGCTTCCCCTTCGGAATGGGTGTGATGCCCCGTCAACGGTGGTGGCTTCCTTGAGTTTCTAAGGTCACTATGACCCACTCCAAGCTCTTGATAACACTAAAATTCAGCGCAGCCAGCCGAGTTCTTGGAGCTCTTGGGAAATCCTAACTCATGCCACTTGCAAGAAATCTTCCAACACCTATCCCAACTCCTCAGCTGCACCTCCTCAGCTGCACCCCCCCCCAACTCCTCACCCAACTCACCGGCACGAGGTGCTCGGCCAGGAAATGCAAGAGGAAAGGCAAGTGAGCTTCGTGGGCCTCCGGCACAGACCGCGCGGTGGGACAGACCGCGAGGTCCGCTTCGGTGCGCCAGACCCCTTGGCTCAAGCCATGTGACTCATTGGTTTCTCAACCAACCAGGCGACGATCGGAAGTGGGGCCAACGAGGCGCCGAGTGCGGCAAAGGAGAAGAAGGACGGTGCTCCGGACGAATCCCTTGGGATCAACCGGAATCTCCGCTGCCAATTGAAAACCAAGGCTTCGGAACCTCAAGTTAGCACGTGAATGAGTCGAAAGTAACGCTGGCACGACCAGTCGTGACAGGCATGTGGTCACCAGGTCCACCGTATCCTATGTGGAAAACGTCTGCCGACAAAGCGTCTGTACACTGACAATCAAGAGAAAAAAAGAAGTGTTGATCAAACCTGGAGGTCCTGTCAGAGTTCTTTCAGCTGGTCCCCATCAGAGCGTCGCCTTGTAAGAAGACACTCTGCACTATGACCCATTGTGCCCAAGAGCTGCTACAAATCATCCTGTGGCATGAACGTGCCAGCTGCAAAAGCATATCTCACTCTGATGCTGGTGAGGTAAGTGTCACGCCAACTGCTGCTCATGATGTATTGTCTGAAGAGATCGTTGGAAACTATGCGCGCTTCGCGCCGTTGTTCATGCATCATCTCGGCGTAACGGATCATGAAAAGATCATCACTGACATGTGCAGGTGTTGTGACGATACAATCCCCAAGCATTTTAATCTCTTGCCTGTATTCATTGACTTCCTTCTCAGGCAGACATGGCAGAAAAATCAAGACGTCATGCATGTTCCTTCTGTAGTGTGATGCAGCAGCGTGCAGTTGTGTCCATCTAAGCCTTCCATCATTCTGTTCACCCTGGTTTCGATGCTTCATGATGTTCATCGCATCAAGGATATAACAGCACTTCATGTTCAAAGTTGATCGATCGCATCCTTCAGCTGCCTCACGTGCCAATTGCATTCTCCGCGGGACTGAGAAGGTCGGCGGCTGGCAAGCAGTAAAGGCCTTCGGCAACCTAGTAGGTCTGGTAGGTAACAAACATGATCTTTGACCCGGCGCCTGAAACAATGAGACCTTTTCCCCTGCCCTAGCTGGTTCAAGTGGCATTGCTGGAAGTGAAGGGGGAGGTGGAGGTATAGGTCGTGCCGCTGCAACCGGTGGAGCTGGAAGTGGTTTTGGTTCTGGTGCGAGTATAGGTCGGGCCGGCTGCAGCGGGGCATCTGGTGATTCAGACCTTTTGAAAAGTTCATCAGGAAGTGCTGAAACTGCTCTTGGCTGTTCAGCAGTTGTTGCCACTTTGGGAGCTGGATTCTCCAACTGCTCACGCTCTGCCGCCACTTCCAACTGCTCAAGCTCTGCAGCCACTTCCAACTGCTCAAGCTCCGCAGCCACTTCCAACTGCTCAAGCTCTGCAGGCACTTCGGGCCCCAAAGAGCTTTCGTTGAATCTCTTACCACTCGGGTCGCCACGGTCCAGCGCAAACTTGGGCGCATGATTCTCGCAAATCTTCCATGCTAAACTCAACCTCTGAGCCGTGTCCACGGCAGCGTCTTCAGGGATCTCCTTTAATCCAGGCCCCCCCGTGGAATGAACCAGCATCCTCTCGCTGGCTGGAACATCTTGATCGGCCAATTGAACATGAGCATTTCCTCAGCGCCGCCCGCCCCCCCGTGCAAATGACAAGGCGTGCAAGTGCTTTGTTTCTCACGTTTGGCCAATACTGGCTTGTCTGCTGAGAGAATGTACAATGGAATCTGGCGTCTTCCCATTCATAGGCCAAGTGAGTGAAATATATCGTCATGCAACAGGTCCCGATGGATTGCGAAGGACATGCAAGGGTGTTTAGTCTACAAGTTACAAGTCATTCATGTACACAGCTCCGTTCAGAGCAGGAACAGGCGAGCATGTCAAAGGAAAAAAGAATACCATAGTATACTGCAATACACCTACATCACCTCAACAGAACAAGAGCCAAAGGTACAAAAAATTATGTGTTTTCTGGTTCAGCTTCGACCTGCGCCTTCTCTTCAGCCACAATGTCAACACTCTCAGTCTTGCAAGCTGCCGCCGCCGTCGGACCATAAACCACAGCAGCGGCATGATCACAATCAAAGCTCAGAAAACGACTGGCTTTTGCCGGATCACCTAGCTTGAAGCTAGGAACATCTTATCATCATAGGTGTTTTCACAAACGCTGGTGTTTTTCATTCAGGTCATGCCATATAATACATTGTTTAGACAGATATCTTTATACTGGATCATGTTCAGAATGGCATGGCATTTAGGTAGGCGAGAGGTGCTTTGCACAGCCTCTTGAGCATGGCATGGTCAAAATCCCGAGAAGTTCGGACAAAGAGATTCATAGGGCACCTCTGGCATCTCGAAAGCATCCCGACCTTATATATATATAATATCCATCTATCTATCTATCTATCTATCTATCTATCTATCTATCTATCTATCTATATGTGTGTGTGTGTCCTATCTAGAGCTACCCCAAAGGAATGGCAGCGGGCGGACTGAACCCGTCCAGAAAACCCATGACGGCTGCCGGATCACATCCGTGGTCTGAAAGGGTCTGCTTTCAGAACCGCTACAGTTCTTGCCAGTTCAAGAGGTTGCTGGTGGGTGGCAATCCCCCTCTCATGGTCCCATGGGTCAACGGCATACCGGCATACCGGCATACCGGATGCATACCGGATGCATTTGTGGTTGTCATTGATGCCCCCAACATGTAAATGACGTATCGATGATGCAACCATCGATGCTTGATGATTGTCCCGTTTTAAGAGTCACTGACCCCTACAGTGCCCTAGCATGGCTATTGTGGAAGTGGATGCCATTCTCCTCAAGCTTGCTTCCTGCGGTCTCCCTTTGATTTTTCCGATGGGTTCGAAGACCTTCCCCAAAAAGTGGTGACAAGGTGACAAGGTTTTTTGATGCACCATATTGCTTGGGTGCTGGAAGTTGGAAGATAGATATATATATATACCACTTAACCTAGGTTTTGACAAATCACATGTCGGCATCTGCTTAAAGCCTCTGTCCCCCCTCCCTCGGACACCCTTTGGTTGGATTGGATAAACCAGGATCATCAATGGCAAAACCCACACCAGTTCGCCCCCCTCCAAGTCCACCCGGCCTGTGCAAACCCAATCGCTTCGACCTGCCCCAGGGCACGACAAGACCGTTCAGACCGTTAAAGGCGGACGACCGTCCAGTGACCAGCGCCGACCAGCGCCTCAGCGTCACCACGAGAAGCCGACCCACCCCACCTCATTGCTCTGGAGAAGCCCCGCCACCATCTCGACCTGAGCACCGTCCGACGCTGAAGAATCCCGGAGGTCCGAACCAAGAAGTCCAGAAGGTCTGACATGTCCTGACTGGTCATGTCCCAAACCAGCCCCTTTCGTTTCACGTTTCCAGTCCCAGGGGCGTCCAGACCCGATCCTCCGACCGACCCATGGGGAGAAGCACGCCCCCGAGGTTCCTTCCGACCGTGCAAGGACTGACGCCACTTTGACTGAAGCCAAGAGGGGCAAGATGAACTCACCCAGGAAAAGAAAAGCCAATAGCAGACCTCCAGACTGCCTTCCTGCAACTAGTGCTTGGCTTTTTGCACCACGACCATCAGCACCGCATGGATTTAAAGCCAACGGAGCCATGGTCGTGTGGAGGAACTGGTGGTCTCAGCTCCAAAACTCAACGAATTTGATCATAATGCCAATCATAGCTTGCTCTGGATCAGATCCTGAGTCAGAGGTCAACAAGCTTGGACCCTGGTGAAGGCAGAGCACGGTCGCTCTTTCTTTCTCTGTTTCTTTCATTTGTCGTTTCTTCTCTTTTTCTCTCTCTCTCTCTCTCTCTCTCTCTCTCTCTGTCTTTCTTTCTTTCTTTCGTTCGTTCGTTCGTTCGTTCGTTCTTTCGTTCTTTCTTTCTTTCTTTCGTTCGTTCGGTCATTCTTTCTTTCTTCCTTTCTTTCTGTCTCTCTCTCTCTCTCTCTCTCTCTCTCTCCGTCGTCTCACAGAGACGCCCAACGGCAACTTCCCCTAAAGGCCGGAGACCAAGGGCAAAAACGGAACCAATATGTGTTCTTTTCTATTTGTTACCTATCAGCCCTAGTCATCCTCCTCAACCCTTGACCCAGCCCTCGGTGGCCCCCCCTAAACATCCCTAAACAAGGAACCCCTTGACTCATCCTTGACCCCATTTCCATCACCCGGGACTCCATGACATCGCCGCAGTTCTTCAAAGGCGTGGTCTCCTCATCGGGCAGCTCAATGTCAAAGGCCTGGCGACGGGTTGGATCCGCCGCTTCGGAAGGACTGGGGACATCTCAAAGGGCACAGTTCGGAAGATGAACATAGATGGAATACTCATAAGTTCATAATTCTTGGGTTCTTGCTTCAAAACCCAGGGACAGGCACGAGTTGGCTAGACTACTCTTTGTGTCAGGGCCAGGGTGCAAATCAAAAGCATGGTGTTTCGAGCTGACGGTCTTTTCTGAATTCTAAAAGCTCAAATTATATAAATACACCAAGGATATTGCGGAATCCATTTGTGTTCACTCCATGCTTTCTCTGTCTTAACTTTCGCCATATCATGAGAGAGAGAGAGACACAGAGTGTAACACTGCGCCACACACACCCAAAAAAAAGGGATCGAAAGCAAAACGAGGTCCACGCCCGGTCCGGTCCGACCTCCTCCAAGGCCATGACGGACTCCACAATGTCCAAGGAATCCGCGCCCAACTCCGTCAGCGTGGCCTCCCGGGTGACCTTCTCCTCACCGTCCGGACCGGACACCGGAAGTGACCCGGACTGGGCCACCGGAGGTGCGTGTGAAATGGAAGCTTCATGCAAAAGCCCAGTTCGTAGCGTTCTTGCTCCTAGTGTCAAGACAAGGTAAATCAATGGTTAAAGACCATGCTTGGAAGATGCTTAGACTGACTGCGCCCGTCCTTGTCCACTCCCAACTGTTCGGCAATCACCTGGAGGGACAACTGTGAACATGAGCGTCAGCTGGATCCGATGTGCACATGTTTGTGCTTCTGTTCTTCTCTCTCTCTCTCTCTGTCTCTCTCTCTCTCTCTCTCTTTCTCTCTCTTAAGCAGGACACTCTGACCCTCACCAAACGGCTCCACCAGGAGAAACAAGCCGGTGGTCATGACTCCTTTCCTTGTCAGAACTTCAAGAAGAAGCTCAGTATGGGGTGTATGTTATACGGCCACAAAGCATGACAAAACATTGTAGAAAAGGGTCATCAAACACCAATGCTGCCACCGATTGTCACCTCCCTTCTTCCTTATCCCTTCCTTGTCCCTTCCTCCCTCTTCCTTTTCCATGTTCAACTTCTACCTCCTTCCTCCCTCTTCGTCTCCTCAGCCACACCGCACCTCAGCCACCTTGCCCATCGTCTCGTCCGAGGCCGCACGACGCACCAGCAGCGACGCGCGCCCCGCCCGCCCCGCGCGCAGCGCAGGCGAGGCTGGGCCGACGAAGGTCAGCGCCTGGGGCTGTGAAAGCCAGGAGGAGACATGGCGGGGTTGGAGTGCGACCTGGCTCAACTGATCTGCTCCCGCAAACGAACAGAGCCATCCATTTGCGGTAGATTTGGAAGATTATGGTTCTGCTTCCTTGTGGTTGCGATTTGGAATTGTGCGTCTCATGAGTCCTTCCGTTGAGCGAGGGCGTGAGCGCCATACCTGAATTTGGTCGACCTGATTGGGAGGCCATTGTCCAAACCTCTCGTTTTGCAAGTTTGGATGGTTCTTCAATGAACTGCAGTGTGGGTGTTTCTTCAATGAACTGCAGTTCCCAGAATAGAATCAAGATGAATCAAGCAATGGTCAGTTGCCAAAATTGAGTGGACAAGCAGCTAGCAAGCCCTTACAGTAAAGCATAAAGGATGATAAAGGATGTTGTTTGTGCAAGCTATTGGCGATAGCAAGAAGTCTGAAGGGCAGCTTGTGAACTACTCGCACCATGTCATCTGCAACCACCCAAGCCGGCACCCCCCAAACTAACCTTGGAATTTAACTAGGAAAGAAGCATCATGAACACTCCAACCGTTCCAGCCTGGAGAAGGGCAGCACCAAGAAGGATCACAGCCAAAGTCGAGGAGCGGGCCATGGCCGAGCTTTGCAGGAGCTGAGCTTTGGAGGAGCTTTCGATGGAGCCGAGATGCTCAGAGATCCACGAGTCGAGCGAGATTGACACCATCAGAACCAGGCTGGCAACACTTGGGCCTGACCCTTCTTCCATCAGTTTGGTCTCATCTGCTCAGCTTCGGGCACCACTGGGCACCACCAACACGGCTCTCACATGCTCTTACGAAAGATTTGGGCCTCTGCAGTGGCCTCTGCTTCCCTCTTCCGTAGGCATCAACCGCAGCAGCATGCTCCTGCAGCCAGCCCTTCCAGCCCCTGCTGCCACCTTCAGCCTTCGCAGCCGGGCGACATCTCGGGCATCCGTCAGCTCCACGCGCAAAAAGGGTGATGGGGTGATCCGCAAGCCGTAGATGGAGCGCCACCTGGCGCGATCTGGGTGCATGGACCGTGGGAGCACCGAAAAGAGGGAAAGGACTTTAGATCAAACTTGATATATATATATATATATATGTATTAAAGGATATATATATATACACACACACACACTAGATCAAACTATATATATATATCAAAACAAGGAAAGGACCAGAGTGACTAGATCAAAGGATATGGATGGACGTAGTTCACTTCAAGATCTTTCAAGTGCATTACACCTCGGTCACCCACCTGGCTTGCCGAAGCTTTTCACAAGAGACACCCCATTCAAAAATCACAGAGCCGCAGCAAATGCATGCCTAGAGCCCCAAATGCAGTTCGCTCACTAATCTCACTGACAAGCCTGCAAGCCCTTCTCACAGGGCCTTCACAACCCTTTTCACGGTTGTCGCGTCGTAAGACAAACTCGCCAAGCCTCTTGAACTGTACACTTACACTAAATAGTAATTGCCGTACTATTAGAGTAGGCTCAAGAATTCCAACAGCTGCATTGCTTCTCCAGATCTGGAAGGGCGGACGGGTCCATGTTTTGGAGTCAGGCCGTCAGAACTTGCACCCCTCACCATCGGTCCGCTGCTCTCCCCGATGCTCTCCCTTCCAGGCTTCAACCACCGGACCGCTCCACCTTTCCAATCTTAAGTTCACAACCTTCACAGGCTTCGCCTCGCTGCGCGCACTGCGTAGCGGCTGCGTGCCGGCGCCGGTGCGTCGGTGGTCGGTTTCGCTGGTGCGTAGTCGGACCGAGCGGCGCGTTTGGGTGGGGAGGAGGGGCCAATCGTCCCTAGACTTGAGCGAAGACACACCTCCAATGGATACAAAGCAGCTGTTGGGTTCAGCCGGCACGGCCAGAAAGTCAAAGTAGTGGTAAAACACTCCGTATTTAGGCCAAGTGGGAAAGAATCAGGACCCCAAACCTGCCGGCCGCTGCTCTTTAAAGTCTCGAGCATCTGGCGTCAGTCAGATTCTTGACTTACATCGAATTGCCACATTCAATTCTTCAGAAGACGCTTTCTCTCCATCAATGGGAGAAGAAAAAAAGACACTCCAACTATATAGACGCTTTCCATCTAGACCTCTTACATTCTATGACTTGAAAAATGCCTTTCCACACGGCCGCCCACACCGGGGGCCGGACCGGCCGTGCCCGCTGCGCCGCATCTTCGATGGCAGCGGCGAGCTCTCGAGGCCGGGCGATCTGGACGGGCGATCGGACGCGACGTGCGTAGCTCCTGGCCTTACGAACGGAACAAGGTTCGCTACGAACGTAACAAGGACGCTATCAGGTGGAGGATGCTGCTGCTATTAGGTGGCCATCGCAAGTAGTTACTAAGTAGGTTGGAGGCCATCGCCACTTGTCACTAGTTGCAAGAAGCTACGAACGTAGGAAAATGGGCATCACCAAACAGCAGACACGGGAAGACATGGGCCAAACGGCAAAGATGTGCCATTGGGCGTAGCTTTGGCTGGATGTCTTCCTCCAACAGTGGGGGGTCAGCAGTCAACAGGCGGAGTCCTTTAGTGTTCCGGCGACCCTTATTCCAAGCATTCCAGTTCAGCAGGGCATACACCCAGCAAGATGATGGCATGGACCTTTGGAAGACGATTTTCTTCCACAGCCAAGTGGTTCTCAGGTTTCATGTGGGTCTCTTCCAGGGTGTGAGCCAAATAAGTAAACGATCGAAGGTTGCCGTTGCTGCAGCACAATGGGGTCAAGTTGCTGGGTGAAGAACTTGCAGAGCTGGAATAAACACCGACGCGAGATAGAAAATGGAGCAGTCACCAAAAGTTATAACCCCACCGATCTTGTAGTATGATATCTTATCAATCATTCAATTTATGTGAGGATTCTTGAGATCTCAAAAAAATCCAAGGTGTTCACCTGCAGTGTCGAATTGCTACAGTCATGAGTCGTGACAACCTGCCACCCGGCCACAGGCGTGATCTTGATTTAACATGGGTAGAAGAGGAGCCGTTGGTCCGTCTAAAAGGAATGAACATACGTATTTTGAAAGAGCATCGACCTTCTTGCTTCCGTTGGACAATCTCCACGAGAACACCCATGGCGACATGTCGCCTCTTCCGTCATCAATTCTTCTGTACAGCTGTGGCCTCGAGAGAGGCTCATGCCAGCATGTCATAAACCCTTTGTACTTCGTGCCAGAATTGTTGAAGATTCACCAACACGGCGGTCTGGTGTTTCAAAAACTCGAAATCTCTGGAGAACAGTCTCCACAGCGTTCGACTGCTTGAACGACTTCCCGGTCCGAGGATTGAAGTAAAGAAAAGCAAAGGCACGATGGACATGGAAAAACCTTTGCTCCTTTCAACCTGCCAACTCCCATTTTGGACAACTGCCATTGACGCAGTCGATCCAGGACGCATCTGGCGGACCGCAGTCGGTCCAGCGGGGTGCAGCCTCCCGCCCCCGAGGTGCAGCCAGGTGGCTCTTGGAGCCGAGGCGGGCAGCCTGAGCGATGTCGGACCTAGATTCTAGATAGTCTTCATGCTCAGTGGACTGAGGGTTTGGCACACCCTTTCAAGCCCAAGATCCACAAATGGTCTCGTCTGAATCTGCTGAAACCAAGAAACAATGGATAGATACTCAACTGAATTCCAATGGAGCACTGCACGAAACTTCTGCACCCAGCAAAAACCGGGAATGGGCTGGCGTTATGGCGTTCACGTGTTTTGATCCATACGGTTCATCGATTGGATGGACAATTGTCGGCAAAGGAGTGGCACCCGTGGCACCCCTGCCACAAGATTGCATGGAGGTCTGCAACTACCAAGCAGAAGGGACTGGAATCTGATTGCATCAATCTTTGGAACGGAAACTTGAAGAGCTGTTGCGTCCACACACCAGTGTGTAGAGGGCCCGATGTGAAATGGCATGATGCACGTGCGTGGCACATGTCATGAGCTGTTGAACAACATGCACTTTTCAGCTGCTAATGCCCTACCACAACCTCTCAAACTTGGAAACGAGAGCAGGCACTTGCTGCATGTGGAACGTCGAACTGGTTGATGTCTGGGCAGGGCCCATTTCCCCATCCCTACCATCCGCAGCTCTCTGCGGCTCCCAGCCGCTTCCTCCGACAACTCGACCTGGCACCAAGTTGATGTTGATGTTATGTGGAAATGGATGGATCAAGTATGGCACCTGCAGGGTGCTGTATGTAGAGAGCAGCTGGCTAGCTGCTACCCTGGGCTAGTCACTGAGAAAAAGCCGTCCACCCAGTGCGTCCACGTGCGGGACGTCACGGACATCCGCACATCCGGGGCGTCCCGGCGTAGAAAAAGGGCCAGCATCCATGCACGTGAGCGCAAACCTCGGCGCCGCGCGTTGCCCGAGCAAAAACGCTCCGACTCCTGTACCGAACGCCGCACCGAAGGAAGCGTCGTGGGCCGGTCGTGGTTCACACTCTGGCCAGCCATCTTAGGCCAATGCCGCACCCAAAGCGGAAGCAGCACCCAAAGCGGAAGCATCCGAGTCACACATGCAGGGGAAAGAGCAAGGCCAGTCTTTTCCGTCCTTTCCTCACTTTCCTCCTTCCCTCCTTCCCTCCTTCCTTCTCCTTCCTTTTCCTTCCTTCTCCTCCCTCCTCCTTCCTCTTCCTTCCCCGTCCTTCCCCTTCCTTCCTCTTCCTTCCCCTTCCGTCCTTCCTTCCTTCCTTCCTTCCTTGCTTGAGTTTTTTGGCATATTACTGCACAGCGAGGAAGCTAGCCTAGACCACAACGCCAACGTTAACCAAACCTGCGGTGCCTTCGATGGGCATGAAACATGGTTACGTTCAAGAATATGCCCATTGTACTAGGGGAGTGTCACACCTTATGCCGCGGGAAAAAGGAACATATGATATGTGCAAAGGTTAATAAAGCTTAAGCTGTTAAAAATTAATTGTCATTTAAAGAAACGTAATGTCTAGATCTTTGTGTGACACCAGCTTCACCACCCGAGTTTTCACGACGCTGGGTCTCCCCACACTTGCGCCTTGCCTGGAGATGCCAAAAAGCCTCACCACTGGCACCTGAGCGGACTTCCATGGACTTCCTCAGCCCACAAAACCCAAGTGGTTGGAGCCAATCGGAGCTCAGCTCCCTCACCGATGAGTTGAGAATGGACCCCACCAACGTGACGAACACGCTGATGTCACACAGCTGATCCCTGCCTTGGCGAGCGCGGAGCCCCTGGACCACTCAGGAACATTGAGCTGGTCCAGGCTCTGTACAGGCTCCACCTGCACAGCTCGGGACCAGGGGCAGGCGTTCGAGCGGCGTTCGGTCGGTTCGACCGCCCAGCACGGAGTGCGACTGCCAAGGATGCCCAGCTAAACCTGTTCACCCTGAATGGCACTATAAGACTGAGACCAGCATCAGCCCCCACCAAGTTGTTGGGCGACCCTGAAATTCACAAACTTATAGCGACACCCAAAAGCCCTTGGCGCGCTTGGCGCGCTTGGTGAAGTGGTGAAGTCTCGGTTGGGCCACCAACTCCACACGCCACACTCGGTCTGACACGCTCACCCATCAACGCTCAACACCGCGCCATGCGGACATCGAGCGCCGTCAGGGCGAAGGAGCAGCGCTGCATCGCCTGCCCCCAATTTCCACGAGCGACTAGCAGGCTTGATGGATCCCTCCACGTGAACACCAACCCAACGTGCAGTTCCACTGTTTCTGTGGCAGTTCCACTACTGCTCACCTGTCCCATGGCTGTCCGGTGTGGCTCACCTCCCTCACCCGCTGGCCCACGCACCGCACCCACGCACCGAGTCTTTCGCCCCGGCGAGACGGGTGGCAGGGTCGGTCGGACAGCCTGGGAAGTGAGCACAGCTGTCAAGAGGCCCGTCTTGCTGCTGAAATCAGACACGTTGCTTCAATGTGATGTGCGAAAATGCCTTGCTTACAGAAATCTTTGGGGTCGTCCTATCCTTGAGCCTATTTAAAATACATCTCGGTCGTTTGAGAGGATCCCAGTTGCAGGAGTCTTCGTCCAAGCTTCTGCGCGGGGAGAAGCACCCTTCGTCCCCTGTAACTTCAGGAGGGCTTGCACTTGCCTGGTCCGCGAGCTGGACAAATTCCATGATGCTCTGAGGGTTCCCTATTTGCTTGCATGAAATAAATATACACCAGAATCATATAAATACAAAATGAAATAACAAAATAGTATATATTTGAGCGTCGTCATTGTATGATAGACAAGAAAATATTACTAACATAGAATATACTTTGAAACGATAAAACATAAGATAACATAGTACCATATTTTGCTATGTGGTGCATTGGGTAGTCTACACAAAATATGATATAATACATGTGTATATATATATATATACGTGTGTGATCGTGTGTGTATGTGTGCGTTTGTAATAAGCACATATTCATATTCACTTTTTGGCAGTGGAACATAACGGTTCATATGGACGTTATACCAAAAATATCCTAATATAGTGATCAGCTTGTATGCAGACATTCGGTAAACCAGCCTCCTGAATACGGATACTGGCGGGTGCTAAACATGGATTTAAGCTCCTTTCAGGTTGGGCTATCCCGCTGTCAACGTCAGTCTTGACGACTGTGCGGATCTTGAATCATTGAATGCCTTGAATTCTGCATGGGTGGGATATATAGTGGCATAGCCATCTTTATTTCGACTCCCAAGTCCCAACTGCGGCCCCTTCCAATCCCAGGCCCTGAGGGCCAACACACCAAGGACCAATGACTCTGTGTGAAGGAAAAACCCATGGAAGACCCTTCGAAAGACGCGAAGGCGTCTGAGAAAACCATCACCGCGTCCCCCCCAAAAAGGGATTCCATGAACCCTCTGATTCCACGGAATAGCTAAGGGTCACTCTCTGATGCTGGGTCTTCTGCCCTGCCTCCACTTCCCCTCCGCAGCGCAGGCGCGCAGCGCAGCGTTCACCACCTCTGGCCTGTCAACCGCTTGGTGTACGAGATCGATCGTGAAGGGGAAAAAACTTACATGGCTCTTTTCACTTTGGGTCGAAGTCCACTCAGATCTACTATATAGATGTTGCTTATACCGTTGTCAAACATATCAAGCAATCGGGCTGATAGAGACTTGAAAGAAGATGCATGTCTATGCCAGGAAGTGTCTGCACCTCTCTGGGGTCCTGTAGGCCAAATCCACGAGCTGCGACCAAGGGGTCGACGGCAGCCTGAAATCGCCGTGAGTCAGATCAAGCGGATTCTCCGACGTCATTCTCTCTCTCTCTCTCTATCTACCTCTCTACCTACCTACCTTACCTACTCTCCATCGCTCATGGTGGATGCGACCGGCCAAGGCTTGCGGAATGGACCTCGCCTGGGACCAGCGTCGGCTCCTGCCCGTCGCGATGGAGGACATTCCTGCCGTCGTGCAGGGCGCGCTGCGAAGGAGGTCGGGAAGATCTAGGACCTTGCGCATTCAGTGCGGGTCGGGAAAGAATCGAATGGTTATAGCCGCACGACGTGGGACATCTTGTAGCCGCATGGTGTGCGAACACTTGAAGCATCCCCATGTCAACCGTCACCCTCTCCGCGGCGACACTTCACACTGGTCTACTGTAATTTGATCCCTCCTTGGTGCCTATGATTTCCCCAGTCTCGACCCTTCCTTGGGCCAAGAGCTGCACCACCTGAGCCGATCAGAGCGGAGCTGCATCGGTCCTGGACCCGGCTCAGAAGCACGTGCAGGGAGTACTGCCATCCAGACCTGCCACAGGCCTTCAGCACCTCAGCTATGTCACCACCAATGGTGAAAGCCCATCCACTGCGGTGATTCGTCACAAACAGGGGGCGCTCTAAGAGCAGTTTCCCATGGCAGTTCTTGAACATAATTTACGTCCCTAAGGGGCACCCCTTCTGTAAGTATACTTGCAACTTACAACCTCCCAAGAAAATACCAAATCTCATTCCTCACCCGGAACACAGGCCGTTACTTTGTATGGCACCAGTCTCCCCCAAGTGTCCCAAAGTCCCGGCCTTAGCTTCGTCCGCGCCGTCCGCGCCGTCCGCGCGGTGGAGAAGAACCAGTGACACCCGCCAGCGGCCTGCTAACTGACAGACCTGGAGCAGCGGGCCTTCCCCTTCGAGGTGATTCCCATGCGTTCGGAGAAAGGTCTATGGCAAAAAGGAAGGGTGCGCTTGCAGTATAGTCGGACCTCTGACCTGCCATACCTGGTTCTTCTTGAAGGGCTTCAAGGAGCAAACAAGAAATAACGAGATCAACCTCCCCACGAGCCACTACCAAGCAACTCGTCCTCTTTCAATGACCTTGTCTCAGAGACCATGGACGAGTCGTAATTCAACTAAGCTATTGCAAATATTTTGGGGCCTCTGGCACCGCTTCCCTCTCTTTCCCTCTCTCTCTCTCTACAAAGGTCTCGATACCTGAATCTTCAGAGGCACCTAGCGAACCAGGAAGTGTTTGTTCATGCTTGTTCTTTGTCTGGGTCAGGCGGCTTCAAGTCCAATAAGACAAGAATAGTACCCGGTCCAGGCAGGCATTGTTCGACGATCTTGACCTCTTGGGGAGGAAGACGTAAACAGCTCGCAGTGTCGAAAGTCCTTGCGGTGAAAATTGCTGATTCGGATTATCGTCCAAGCAATCAGCCATTGCGCGGTCCAAAACGGTGGAACAAAGGCATTCGTTTTGCCGTCCTTTGATCCCCTCAGGAACGGAAGTGCTCTGCCGGTATGACCACACCCATTTTCTGACTCAGAGCTTCAGTCAGCGACAAAAATCACATGCCCCGGAAGCAGGTCTTCACGAAGACTGGTCTTCACAACAAAAGGAAGACGAAGATGAAATATGAAGCTCAGCCGTGCCCCAGACTCGCCCAAACGTTTGGGCCGTCTCAACACCGCCGAACGAAAGGCGCCGCCTCCAGGGACTGCTCCTGCAACGGCCCTGCGGCCAAATTGTGCTGGCAGCCCTGTGCTAGGAAGGACCTCGATGCAACTCCCCAACCGATCTCGATCCGAAGCGATCGGTAAATGGACTGGGGGTCTGAATTTCAGGTAGGAGCTGGGGACCAGATTTTATAGCAAAAACAGGTTGGAGTAGATACTTGCAAGCTATAGAATCCTGAATCCTGACAGTGAATAAATACATGCCTGAATAAGTGGCCACTCTATAAAATCTGGTGGCACAGGTCCACCTGCAACAAGCTTCCCGTGCTTTTTTGATTTTATTATAGTACTATAAAAATCTAATCTCAAACAGGGGTCATCAAGAATCAAACAGAAAAAAGTTGATGTCGTGCCACCTCGACAGGACTGTCACCTTACCGAAACAAAAAGTGGGCAGCTCTCGAGAAGGAACCTGTGCCACATGAGAAGTGTGCGACTGCTCTGTCCGAGAGGTTTTTAAAAAAGAATCTCGTAAACTGTTCCGGTGAACTTTGCACGCGTCTGCTTTCTAAAGACTCCAGTTCCTGTCTTTTATGACCAGGATTGCTTCTACGAAATGCTTCCGTTATAGAATGCATGCATGTTCCAGCTCTTTTCAGGCAAGTCTCTTTCTATAGATTCTGTTCCCAGGTTGATTTCTCTATAACTTCTGCTCCCAGGTGGCACAAGTGCTTTCCATAAAATCCCTGATCACATCATTGGCCTATGCCAAACAAAAAAGTGTTGTTTGATGATTGTTTTTGAACTTTTATCTTTTGAATTCATAGTACAATTGTTTTTTTCTCTATAGGCCCCCCCCCCGGTTTCTGAAAAATTCCACCTGATTTTATAGAGGACATGGGTATCTGTCTAGTCTAGTCTGGCCCAGGGTGGGTTTGTGTGCGTGCGTGTCTCCATGCATCTCTGTGTGCATGCAAGATTTACAGCCTGGTATGTGTTTGATAACCCCTAACAAGTTACTGGCACTCAACGTGCCATCCAGTACGGCAACTTGGATCGGGACGCTGACCGCTCCCGACTGGTCGTTGAAAGTCATTGAGACACATGGGGACACTTCAATTGAGAAACACATAGCACAAAGTGCCTGGAAGGCAAAGCTGGTTGCGGAAAGCAATTCACAGCCTGGTGAACAGAAGAGCTGTGAAAGCAGATAAACCACTCAGAGGAAAAGATTCGTCAAAAAAATGCTTTGGCAAACAAAAGTGCTTTGAAAGTGGAGAGGAGCAATTGAGAAATGAATTTGGTGACACAGTGCTTTGCAAGCAAGACTGGACCAAATCTGTTGGCAAGCGATTGATTGCTTCGATGGGGCATGAAGTATGCGCAATGTTGTTTCAGATCGGCCGTAGGACATTCCAATCTTGCCATAGGGCCATAGAACATTTCAGGATCACTAAAATGGATTTGCTAAAAATGCTGAGGTTGGGCCGCATATCGCTGCCACCGGAATGGGCTGCAGCGTGGCCCTTGTCCCGACTTCGACAAGAACTGCTCAAGATTCTCTCACTACCAGGGATGGCAAAAGCAAAGCGAAAAGCGAAGCAGTGGAAAGTCTACATTTAAAGGGTCCACCAATTATACCACCCGAGGTCCGCAATTAAAAATTATGGGCCCTGGGGCCCTTACTTGATCATTTTTGGGGTGCCAGGTTGATACTATAAGCATTTCATAGCTTGTTGGCAGCTATGGGTCCCAATGCCTCAGCGCCTACGTCGTTTGACAGCCCTCTCCTCCCTGGAGACTCCGCACCCTGCAAATGCCTCGCCCGGTCCGCCCGCCGCCGCCGACCGCCGCGGACGCACCGCAACCGAGCGGCAGCGCGTCCGCCCAGGCGCTCGTCCGGCGGCAGGACTGCAGGGCCGTCGCCTGCGTCTGGGCATCGATCCGCCACGCTCGCGCGCGCACGCTGCGCAGCAGCGCCAGGGCCTCGGTGGGCGAAGGCGGCGTCGAAAGGGCGGAAAACGGAGCGGGGGGAACCAGCGGATGAGGCCCAGTTGGTGGTGAGAAGTAGATAGGAGGACCAAAAGGAACAGAGTCTGTTGTCGCTGGAAGTTGAGTGGACACCTAATTCATGAATCCAAAGCTGCTCGGCATCGTTCCGCTGTTTGTGCCCAGGCACCTCCGTGATGGAGCCCGTCTCGCGGCACACCTGTAGGGCAGGAACCAGGTCCGACCTCCGTGCTAAGGGCCGGTGGCCCTGGAAGGAAGAGAAGCGAAAAGGCCAACGATAAGTGAAGAGAAGCGCTGCCTCGCGCCACTGTCGCCCCAGGACCTGAGGACCAAGACCCGGAGGAAGGCTGGCTCCGGCCACGCGGGATGCGTGGAGGTGGTTCCGGCACGAAGGTCGTGCCCGACCTGCCCTCATGAAGAGACCCCCTTTTTTCCGCGACTCGCGACTCGGTCGTCATTCCTCAATCAACCGTGCAGCGTTCACCATCCACCAGAATTTTGGGTGAACCTTTTGGGTTCTGGTCGGTGTATCCCGAGTGTATGACCCCGTCCTACGGGGAGGTCCTTCCAACCAATCGTTCCAACGTTCACCATAAAACTGCTTTAAAACGGTGAAGGGTTCCGCGCCGGGCGGCCATGGATCCCAAGAAGGCTTCTCTGGTCTTCATGCTGGATTTCAATTGAGGCAAGTAGGCCGCTGCCTCCTGCCACCGCAGCACCTTGACCCCCGTCATGACCAGCGTGCTGTAGAAGAGAGCGCAGGCCTGCACCTTGGATTTAGGGAGCTCCTGCAGCATGTGGTGCTGAAAAGAAATTCTGGAGTTGGGAGGGGCTCGTTCCCGCCGTTCCGCCCAAGAATACACACTTGGCTAGACACAGGCCCCCCCCTGATCAGAGGATAATCATCAACAACCTTATCAACTGCCCAAAATTATCTGGTTATTTGGTCGGCGGTTTCGCTCTCCAAGATATTCCAAGATTTCCGTCCTTTAGCAACCGGAAGGCTTGATCCACCGCCGCGGATCTCTGGCACGCAGCGCAAGCGGTTGAAAAGGACACACGGTCAGCTTGCAAGCGTGCCTCAAAGATCTCTTGAAGCTGCAACATAGCTAAGGGCCAGTTCCCACCTCAAATGCAGTGCTTCGGGAGGTGGGTAAATATGTATACGAAATGGTGTAGTAAAACAACGCATGGACCAAAAACAAACCAAACCTTTAAAGAATAAACGTCGCGACATGGCCCATCGGTTCGTGAGGTTCTACAGCAGGCTTCAAAAGTAGCAACCAACAAACACGTCAGAAACAAATGCCAAACACCGCTGCAAGCCACCAGGAAGACGGCTGGCAGCGGAGATGGCGCAGTTGTGCAGCCGCAGATTCGGCGTGTGCCCCACCCAGCGCGCCAAGGTGAAGAGATGCAAGGACCAGCGCCAGGCGAACATCGTGTCAGCTCGATTGCAAGCGGTGGCAGCAGAGGCCAATGGGACGAGATCGGGCAAAACCTGGGACGTTGGTTCGACCGGTCCCAGCTGGACACTTCCCACCATTCGGATCGATTGTTCAGCCGCTTTGAGTAAGCGGAAGCGGACAGGGTAGCTCAAACGTTCGTCAGAACAAAACCGAAACGCGTGCACCAATGTCGTCCTTGCTCGGATTAAACAGCCTGGTCCCAAGCCAAAGGTTTGTGGATCAAGTCCACATTTCCCATCGAACATCCAAATAAGATTGAGGTGGGCATGGGGTTTTCTACCGATGAGTTATGTGGTATATACCAACATTGCTATATCTAAAATAAATAAATATATTTATATATATATGTGTGTGTGTGTGTCAGAGTCATATCAGTGTAGCTTATGCCGGGTTGGAACCCATGGGTTTTGAAAGGATTTTGACCCCATTGACTCCCATCTGCACGTGGAGTCCAAGCTCGCGCCTGCGAGGCTTGCATCAGCTGGACCAGCTGGATCGCCAGTTCCCAACTCTGCGACTCGCTGCAGGCAGACAAGACCGTCCCAAAGCTGATTTGATCTGCAGAAGGTGGGACATCCAGGAGCTTCATCAGCAGCTGAAGCATTTGTGGCCAGCCTGCTTGACCTCGACACCTTAAAATGGCCGCACTCGCTGCATTACTCACATTGGTCGCTGGCAAGTTCTGCTGCTTGGCAGCTGTCAACCACTCCAATGCCAGGTCCCAACGCTCGATCGTCCGGCAAGCATCCACGGCCGACACATAGGGGGCCGTATCAACTTGAAGTTCTGCCTTGCACAGGAACCCCCCAAAAGAAAAGTAATAATGACTAGTAATGACCCAAAAAAGTGTATGTGTTGCTTTTGTTTCTTTGGGTATTTTTATTGTTTATCAACTTGAAGTTCTGCCTTGCACACCGAATTGAGCAGCAAGAAGGCCACTTGCCACATTCTCATGCGCCCCAAGCGTCGCACAGCCAAGCCCAAGATTTCAGAGGTCATCAGCAGACTCCGCCGTGCATAGAGCAGCAAGCGGCCAAACTCTTTCCTGGCAGGGATTGAGCAGCTATAATGTTTCACACTCTCTTGATCGGGATCCGTGAGTTGTTACATCTATACTCTATACAAAAAGCCTCACTTGTAGCTTCGGATGCGTCCAATATTCAATATGCAGAAAGCCCGGCAAACTATTCGGGCCATGTTGCACTAACCTGACGAAGGAGATTCCAAATCCTCTTGGAAAGTAAAATCATACTCCTCACTTCTAAGTCGGGGTGAGCTATCCACTTTCGAATCAGCGTGCAATAGCTGAAGGGGAAAAAGTAATTCATAATTAATGCGATTGAAACAACATTGGCCACAAGCAAAAAAAAACACGAAAGCAATCAAAAATAATCAAACAAATACTCTAAAGCCTATGAACTTGAGGAGGCTTCAACCATGTGCAACCCGGTCCCGTTGTTGCTGTCTTCTTTCCACATCGCTTTTATCCAAACTCCCAAATCCGAGTTGCGGCTCCACATACTTCGCTCCAAAGAACTTCACCAGCTGCTTCCCCTCGAAACGGCCCGACCGCGCGAGGAACCACTTGGGGCTCCTCCGGCGCTTCGCCATGCGCCGGAGGGAGATGCGGCCCTTCCACACCTGAGAGGAACTGGGGCGAGAGGGAGAGGAACAAAGGGCACCGGTTTGAAGGACCTCATCTCAGTTGCCAAAAAGAGACGGGAGATGTTTCAAGTGATTCCAAAAGCACTCTGCTTCCTGCTTCCCTGCACAAACCCTTCTGTTGACCTTTTCGTCTACTCCACTTCGCCCACGCACACCGCCTTCGCCCCCAAACCCCGCACGCCTGCACGCTCGAGCTTTCCTCTGGCCAAAGGAGCCAGGTCTGCTGCAACAGGACTTCCAGCAATCCATCAAGACCTGCCTGGGGGCGCCAAACAGTCGCCCTTTGCGGAGTCGGATCAGCTTGACGGTCGGCATGCCGAAACATGCCGACCATGGGGAGGTCACAGAAGGAACAAGAATAAATCTGACCCAAAAGTGACCATCTAGGAATCAGGATCTTCGGGCAAGATCTCCTTGCTCGTGTACTGGCATGTATGAGGGGAAGCCTTAATATCCTTTCCCAAGGGGAACCGTTCAGCCTTGTGCAGTTCGGGTGGTCCCAAGATTGCACAGGTGTTCAGCATCGGAGTGCCACAAACGGGTGAGCCCTGACCCCCTCTTTGCAGCAAAACTCATTGCTGCAACAATCCTCCCAATCATACATCGCACCGCACTACAGAACGAACTGTTGAAGTCGAAGCCATGAGGCATAGGTCTTCCAGCCAAGGCGTGCATACCAAAAGGTAAAAGGCATCAGCTGCCCTTTCCGCAGGATCTTGCCCCCCATCTGGCACAGCAGCTCCTGATGCATGGGCCGAAAATGTGCTCTGGGCACTGCTCTGGGCATGCGGCGGGGAGGAGGAAGAGCGTTGCTCCATTCCTGTACATTGATCTTAGGACCTTGGGCACACGGGTCCCATGAGCCTACATTGCCTACATGTCATAACTGATTATACAAACTGGCCAGCGGGGTTGACCCCAAGCAACCTTGCGATTTTGAACATGGTCAGCTTCAGGAGCAGCTTCATCCCGCACCCCCTGCAAGAAGGGCGTTTGGACCCAAAAGCACCCTCCTGGATGAAAACGCAGAGGTCCGTGTAGTTCTCCATGGCCTGCTGATACCCCGCCTCGGTCAACGGATGCCTCTTCGCTTGGAGCTCCACCGGGATCCCCTCCACTGGGCTATTCCCCTCCAGTGCCTGGTGCACGCTTCGAGCGAGCTTCGAGCGGGCTGAACTCTGCGGAGGCTTCCTGGTAGGAAGGTCTTCCGCGGGGCCATACAAGGAACACAATCCTCGAAGTATATGCACGTAAAGATAACTGGAAAAAATGTATTATTTTAACCCAATGATTTGTTGATGATCACCGCATCCGAGAGTGGTAAACATAGCTTCACGTTGAGGGGATTTTCGTGTGCTCATGTTCATGTCCACACTGCGATCACCAGCCTCCAAGCTTGCCATCAGCTCATCCGTTGATGGCGGCCTCCGCTTTCGCCAACTGCGCAGCCACTGCTCCTGGCGCTTGGCGCTCGCCCTGCTCGCCGTGCTCGCCGGGCCGATCGCAGTGGCACCAATCTCGTGGGTGGTCTCATTGCCATAGCGCCGGAGCTTCCACCGCTGCTGCGGGAGACTCTCCGCATGCCAGAGGATCCAAGTCTGTTCACGAAGCAAGTTCTTGAAGCTCTCGAAGTCACCCTCAAGCTCTCCCGGTGCTGGGGTGGAAGGGTGTGCCTTCAAGTCAAACACATGGAACCCACCTGGTTTTGCTGAGAAATGATTGGGAAACTCCTCTGGTGCCGATCTCCAATCTGGTGGTTTTGGAGGATCAATTGCTTTGATCGTGTTGGATCAGTACGGCCTCAAGTTGTGACTGTCCTTATATTATGAAAGTATAGAGAAATCTGCTATGCACTATTTTGCAATCAGGATCATCGAAGCTCACAGTTCACCTAAGCTACCACTGGATGATCATCACCTCATATCCCTCGCCTAATGCTTGCATATTCTATTATATCTATATACCGTATACAACACTTGCCATCTCCGAAAAAATAGAAAAAATGTTAAAAAAATAGAAATGTAATTTTATACAATAAAATATGGTTCTATTTTTTTGGTATATCTTGCCTTGGAACCCAATTCCAGGAACAAAACTTGTGACCTTCCAATGTTTTCTTGCAAACAAATCGTCTAAACACGAGCGCCATCCCTCCCAAATTTCGACCCCTCAACGCACCTTCACTCCCACATCCTCCTGTAGATCTATCGAAACGATCGCTTCTCCATCCCCGGTCGCCTCTCCCACCTCCCAGTCCCCGTCCTCATCCCCTCCCCTCCCTGCCTTTTTTGTAGGGCCTCTGCGCGCGAACCACTCCACGAAGGCGCTCAGCTGCTTTTGACTCAAAATCTGCCCGTCCAAGACCTTCGCCAGGCGCTCCACGAAGCGTCGGAGCTGTGTCGAATCCTGGTGCTCCAGGTGCTCGAAGCCCTTCGATGACGGGACCTGAGAGAACGGTCCCACAAAATGCCCGAACAGGCTTGAAAAGGTGGAAGCATAGACCTGACCTTCAGAAAAGTGGGTGAACATTCGCATCATCTAAGAAAATATTGGCGTGGGAGATGTTCAGTTTGACAAAAGAATTGGCAGTTGCCTACTTAACCTCGGGCATCCTCAGGCTTTTGTTGTGCAAAAGTGGCATGACTTGCCCTTCCCTGCCTGCTCAGGCCGACCCGGACTAAAGCTCATGCAAACTCATGCTGAGAGCAGCATGGGTCAAGAGCCACCGTCTGAGCAGCTGCGGAAGGAGATGTCGGTCTTCCAAAATCCGTGCAAAGGAACTGAACAGTCCTGGTCTTGAGTTGCTTCCCCTGAAAGCTGGGATCACTGAGCACCCCAAGACCCTCCCAGAAAGCGCGTCGATCTATTGCTACGTACACAAAAGGAACATATATTGTACTTTTGATGCGCAAATATATCTATTTAATGGTTTCAGAAAGTAGGTGGCACAATCCCCAAAAGGTGTACAGACTCCCACCTTAAAAAGGCTGCGGATTTTTACAGTATATGGTTTAAAATCTATGTTGTTTCCTGGGGGATGGCTTTAGTCTTCCGAGTTGTAAAAATATATGTGTTTAATTATTTCTCATGGGTGTATTTTATTGTTATGTTGAAAAATCCTTTCAATGTCCGTTTGCATTTCTTTGAAGGAATACTCTTAAAGTGGCTCTTGAAGTGTCCTGAAAATGTGTGTTTAAATGTTGTCCTTGAATGTTTCCTGGGGGATGTCCTCTTAAAGTTTCTGGAGTCATGCTTAAGTGTTTTCAAGTTGTTTAACTGTCCATCGAAATGTCCTTTACATTTAAATGTCCTTTTTGCCATGTCCTTTTTACATTTCTGTTTAAACGTTCTTCTAAAAATGTCCTTTTCAATATGCTGCTCAACTTGGTTAAATGTACTCCAAATGTCCTTTCATATCTTCTTGCATATTTTGCTAAGTTCCTCTTAATTTCCCTTCAAATTTCTTTTGTAATAAACAATGTACATTTAAATGTCCGTTTAAGTTCCTTAAAACTTTCCTGTTACAATTCCCTGCAGGTTGCCTTTTAAACGGCGCTTAAATTTTTTATTGGTTAGGTGTCCTATAAAATTTCATTTGTGTGTTCCTTCAAAATGTCTTGTTTAAATGTCCTTGAAGTTCCTGTCAATTTTCACTTGCAGTTTCCTGCTGGGTGTCCTTTTGAATTCCTGCTGGGTTTCCTTCTGAACTCCTGTTGAATTAGTTGAAAATTAAAGTGTACTTGAAATTGGCGTTTGAAGTTTCTTTTCATTTGCAGAAGCAAAAATAGTATTGAGTTTCCTTTCAGCGCTCGCTGACTCGCTCATTCACATAAACACTCATTGACTTGCTCTGGTAGTTGTGGTCTCCTTCGCACGCTGTCTTTGCGTGCTTTCTCTCATGGCGTTGCTTTGTTTTTCTTGTTTTCTTCGTTTTTCTGGGCGTGAATAGATTTCGGTTGCGTTTCAATGACTTTAACTGAACCGAACTGATTTTAATACTGCTTCATTGATTTGAAGCCACTTTTTTGGTCTCTAATGTTTCTATATTGACTTCCTTTGAACTTCACTGTAGTGCGTGTAAATTTTTGAGAAGTCTTTCCGAACTGATTTGGATTAAATTCAATTGGTTGGAAGAAATGAGATGGCAAAAGCCTGGTGGCCCTTATCATCCACCATTACGCGTTTTGCACAGCATTTGTGGGCTCTTGCAGTTGGAGATGTTGCACACACGTGAGCGTACGCCAGCTTACAAACGCGCGCACAGTCAATGTCAAGATGGGTAGCGCCCGGTGGCACCATGTTGGAGGCGATGAGATGGCCAAAGCCTGGTGGCTTTGTGGAATCCACCGTTGTGGGCTTTTAAGGTTTCATGACATGTGGACACTTGAGTGATAGACACTGCGCAGCGATGTCCGTTCCAAAGTGCCGAAGGACTGCAGTTGTTCGCCCGGAGATGGTGGGCGGGCTGGGTGGGATGAGGGGGCAAAAGCCTGGTGGCCCTTAGCATCCACCGTTGTGGTTCTGCAGGTTACATGACTCGCGCGCTTTTGCACACGCACGCTTCAGCGATACACACTTGCATAAGGATTTCCGAATGACCAAGGAACTGCGAAGGATATATGAAATACATGAAATACAGTATATCATAGTATATCCAATGATATACTCAAATCACCTTTTTTTGGCTTCTTTTTCTTAGTTGTGACTTTTTCCTGCGTTGTGAATTGCGTCGCGACTGTTTGAGCGCGCGCTGCTAAGCAGAATGTGTAGCGCTAGGTGTCCAGCCACCGCAAGAGCCACGCCGGCTCCAAGACTGTAGTAGGCAGAGTTGCTGGCCTCAAGGTGCAAGGAGGACAGCAACATGTTAAGAAAGCGTGGAGATGAGCGTTGGACAGCTGTGGCCACGTGAGATGCAGAGCTGCCACGTTTCTCTTCTTAATCTATTTGACGGACGGGCGCGTCCCTTGCTTCCCAGCATCCAGAAGAAAAGCCTCTGTTGCAAGTAACGTCGACTGAGAGATTGTAAACGGCGCTGTAGAATTTGAAAAGGAAAGGTCTCAAGCCCTAAGGTCATGCTCGGGCGTGGGGCTCATGGGGCTGAGGGGCCTGGACGTGTGAATAGGAAGCTGTTAAGAAAGCGTAGAGCTGAGTGTCGGTGTAGGACGGGTTTGGCCACTTGAGATGCAGAGCTGCTGCGTTTCTCGGGGGTGTAAATGTAGCTAGCTTACCAGTAGCCAAGAGAAAAATCTCTGCAACAAGCACGTTGCAAGTGAATCGTTGCGTCAAGGGGCGACTCCTGCCTGCCCGATATTTCCGGCGCAGAAAAAATGTCTCAAGCCCGAAGTCGTTCATAACTGGGGCATGGGGCTCATGGACGGCCTGGGCGTGCATGAAATGCAACATGTTGACAAAGCATAGAGCTGAGTGCCGGACGGCTTTTGCCACTGGAAATGCAGGGCTGCTCCGCTTTCTCTGCCTAGTCTCATTGGAGGGCACGCATGTCTACCAGTAACAGAAACAAGTCCAGGCACGGAGAACGTTAAGGGTAGGCATGAATCATCGACCAAGTGGTGAAGACCGCGCAGGCACCTCACACTACATAGCTTGCACAAGTGTCAGGCAGCAAAGCTCTGATGCCCAAAACAAGAAAGGTCTCAAGTCTCAAGTGTGTAAGTTCTTTGGAGCATGGGGTGCATGGGAGTAAGGGTTGTTGGCAAACAGTTGAAAGCTGCAAATAAAGGCTGGCACGATTCCTGCAGCAAGCACCTCACAGTAAACGGCTTGCACAAATGCGACACAACATGACATTGAGCGAGGATCCTAGCTGAGCAGCGTCCATTCTGCAATGCTGTCATCAAACTTTGCGACTCACGGACGGACATTTGGAACAAAACATGGGGATCGCCAAGTCCAAGCTGACTGACGCAAGGGCTCCATCTTGACGCTCTACTTGGACATGGCGGGAACGAGGTGGCCCAGACCAGCCAGCGGACCGCAAGAATGCACGCAACACAGAACCATCCGAGGATACAGTTGAAGATGATCAATGATCAAGCTGAAAAAAGTTGGCCCGGCAGTGCCTGAGTGGGTGGCAGGGCGATCTGACCAATACAGGCAAGAATTGGTGGCTTTGCCTTTTGGGAGGTCGACCCCTTTGCTTTGGTGCAAGCATTGATGTACCACTTGATTGGCACTCGTATTCCATACAGGCGTAGGCATGTTCACAAGGACCCCACAAGGAAGCCACATGACAACCAAAGCACAACCACAAATCATGCTTGCTTGATGAGTGACTGCCTTCATCCGCGGCAACAGCTTGGCCTAGTGTTTCCAACTGGTAACCTTATGGCTTTCGCAGTCATAGAAGACAAGCCTTTCCAAAGCACTTTCCACTGTCTCAACGCCGTTGGCTGTGAAAATACAGGAGAAATGCCGAAGTGCATCAGGTGCAAGTGGCAGAGAGATGCGGTCTCTGTACTCTATAGTGTTTCTTGCCTTTTCTGCTTTCCGGCTGCGAAAAATCTCTCTTGTATTTGAGATTGGCATGAACATCCACACACTGCCAGCTACATCTTCGAAGCGAGAATGGAGACCCCATGCAAGTAGGCTTTTGGCAAACGTCCTCCCCTCCTTCCTCAAAGGGGTGGTGCCTGACAAGGCGTGTCGGTCGAGGAATTGGCCAATGCTGGGCCAATCCTGGAGTATTTTTTGCTCCGCGAGGCTAGAGAAGTCAAATTAAATATACATAAATATTTCCCAGTCACTAAAATATGATCTGAAAATCCTCTTGGGGGTTGTGCCATCTATTCTGGCACTACTGTATACCTATATATTCATATATAGCATACACATGTTCCTTTTCTCTATTGCGCTGTGCCTGTTGTTGCCTCAGTTAACTTGTCGGGCATTTCGGCGGCCTTTTGTGCACCCACATAATGAACCTTTCGGAAAGGAAGATCGTGTTTGCTGATCCATCGTTCCCATCAATCGGAAACCTTGCAGAATCTCATGGATGAGGGGTGCTGCCTTCCAGGCCCTTCCCAATCTTCCAAAACCCATCTGCTGATTCATTCCGCTCTGTCAGAAGCGGCCTCAGGGCCGGATCATCAAGGCGTCACCTACCTGATCGGAGAAAGTGATCATCTATCGCAGAGATCAGGAACCACACACAGCCGTGAAGTAGCTGCGATGATTGGTCAAATGGGCATGTTCTAAAGCAGGTATGCCATTGGATTTGGTCTAATTCTCTCCTGCTTTCTTCCTTGATTGGCTGGCCTATGCTCTTGGAACCCTCTCTTTGAAGCTTCCAAGCTCCCGTGTGCCTCCCCCCTGCTCCAGCACTTGTTTGAGCCAGGTTGGCCGGGCGACCGGCGCCCTTCAGTCTCCACGCGGGCGACCGGTCACGAGGTTCGAAAGGTGTTCGGAAAAACGGACGGCAAAGTGTCTGGACACCCAGTCGCCTGCACAGGCTCCACCCTCGTGGCACTGCTTGGTTGCCTTCCCCGGTATGAAGCAAACATCTTTTGGACTTTGCGTTTTCGCGATGCCCATGCGTGGTGGGTGTGCAAAAAGAATCGCACTGTGTTGGGAAGGCTGAGTCCAGAGATTGGCTCAGGGCATCCCACCATTGGGGCAATACTGTGTGCTGCAAATGTGGCGGTTAAACCTCTCACCCAGCCGCACTGAGGGAAAACAAAGGAACTCGAAAGTGAAGAGAAGTCCCGAGTCCCACCCGAAAAGACAAGTCCTTTACCACAGGACTTGGAGTCACCCAGCTCGTCGTTGACAACTATGTGGCCAAAGCAACATGAGTACTCTGAACCACTTTATCAGTGGAGATGCTTGGGCATACCTGAGAGGAAAAAAAAGGGCTAACAGCTGAGGCAGCTAAGGCTAACATACGATGGCCATGTTGATAGGTTGTATGACAGGCACCCTGGCAAGCTGTAGTCGCCCATCCACGATTTAACACATGCACTATGTGCTTCATGTTGTTCCAACTTCCTCAGAAATCTACCAGTCCCAACTCATCTATCCACCTACCCCCTGGCCTGGCCAGAACTCATCACCAGAACAAGTCAACGGCTCAAGCCAAATAACAGTCCATAATGATCCATAATAGTAATTTGTACTTAATTGATATACTATTGAATCCATACTGTTTGTACATCACATATGTTATTATGTTATATCTATATATATATGTGTGTGTGTGTCATTTGATTATTAACTTTTCGTATGTTTGTTAAATTGAAAGATTGTTTCCCCTCAAGCCAGCTCACCACGTCCGACAGCGGCCTCTCCACACCCGCCGCGTTTTCACTCACGGCATCGGTTCACCCCGCCGGTGTCCCCCGCCGCCACCCTTCAGGGCGGAACGAGCTTTGTCGCCCCCCTGAAGGCTGCCGGCTCGCGACGCGTCACGCGGCGCGTCACCGGCTCGTCGCGTCATCTGAAGGCAAACAGTCGAAGGGCGGCAGCGCTTTCGGAGGTGAAGGCTCCGCTACGTTCGTAGCTTCTTGCTCCTAGTAGTAAGGCCAGGCCCCCCCAAGATCCAAGGGCCCAGTCCACAGGTGTTGGGTTTCTCTTTCACTGTTGGGGTTGGGCGGATATCTATATGTAGCAGCGTAGCGCGGTGAATGATGCCTCAGAGCAGTCTGCGGATGCTGAGTCAGTGGCCATTCCAAAAGGACTCCCCCACAAAAGAGCCATTGCTGGGTTCCACTACAGATTCCACAGAAAGAAAAAGATCACTTGCCCATTGCAACTCCTACCCTGCATGTCAACATGCCGATAGGCTGATAGGTACCCAAAGTTGAATAGCAGTAGCAAATAGTAGTAGCAGGAGAATATGCCCTCACCAGTTTTGTCCATCGACGAGACCTGCCCGTGGCGAATGCACAAAAAAAACATGCGCACCCTTGAGGTCAAGAGCCGCTAGATGCACTCCCACGGCTGCAGTGCCTTCATCGTGTGGACCACACAAGCCCAAATGGAAGGGAGTTTGATGTGAGTTTCTTGGCAGTGTGCGACATGTGTGCCCAAGAAGCCAACAGGATGCTTCGAGAAGTGTCCCCCCAACGATAGGGTGAACCACTAGAATCTAAAGAAAGCTTAGCTCACTACGAGAAAGAAAACTATTGAGTATTGGCCTGTATTGGCCATCCCTGGCTCAAACTCCCAAATCAATCAGCTAGATTCCCAAATTGGAAAACCATCTAGAATCTATACATACCCGTGTCTTAGACTCATCCGCCATCTCTATCTGTGTGGTGGCCCAACGCTTATCAACACGTGACGCGTCTCCCATTCGGGCACCTGTCCCGCCCATTCGACCCACCGCCTTCCAGCTCGGGCTCCACATGTGTGGACGTGGCGCAGCCTGAGGTCGGTTTGACCATCCCAACGGACGCACGGCACATCCGGGAGACCCCAACGGGCACATCCGGTGGGGGTCTGGGTGGCAACTCGTACAGTGTACAGCGGCACCAAAAAATAACACACACTTATGGATATGTGTACTGACTTGACAGCGGTGCCACACGCCAGCCTAAGAAACCCAAATCCTGAAAGGTCCAGGAAAGTCCTAAAGAACCTGGGGGGTCTGTAAGAGGAAGTGAGGCCAAAAGCGTAAGGTCGAAGGCGACGAACAAGTCGAAATGACGACGATCGCTCAAGTCTGCAGCAAGTGAGGTTCTGGGCTTAGCCTCGTGCCATTCCGATTGAAAATGGCAGGTACATAGTTCTGGCGTCCCAGAACTATATCACTGTGCGACAGATGCGTCTTCGTTGGCTGGAGACATCTGAAGCACACTCCAGCCCCCTGCTAATGAAAAACAATTCAAACGAATCCCTGTGACTACAAGGGGCACACACACACACACACGCCTCCCCAAAGGGAGGCAAAAATTAAGGCTAGGACGAAAGTGCAAATGTGCGCGCCTCAAGGACAAAAGGGTGAAGACATGAGAAGGAGGACGAGACGGAGACAAAAGTGTGTGTGGTTGCGATGAAAGAGAAACCAAGTGCACAGGGACAACCGATGAAGCCCACCTCATTGTCGAGACCTGGGCGACCTAAAACCTGAGTGTGCAAGTAGATGTGCGCGTACAGACTAAGGCCCAGACCGTTGTGCGCGCAAAAGAAAGAAAGGAGTGAGATGAAAGGACATGAAGCAAGGGAAGACACGAAAAGAAAGAAGAGAAAGAGGTGTGTGAAGGGGAAAGAGTGAAAAGGGGAAACAAATGGAGGGGACGGGAACCAATGAAGCCGAACCTCATTAGAGAAACCTATGCAAACCTGGTTGAAAATGTACATGCTGTGTGTGCATCTGAGGTGGCGACGGGTCCCAACGGACCCTAGATTGCTTCGGTCGCTGCGACCACGTACGGCATGCCCGAGGGCGGCCACCTCTGACCGCTGCGGTCACGTAAAGGCATGAGCCAACTTGGAATTCCAAAAATGGGACAAAAATCGGAGTTCTGATGGCATGAGCCAGCTACTGTCCGCTGCGGACATCTACGTTCCCAAAGCCGGGGAACATGGACAAACCCCCGTTCGACGGGTCCACGGGAGGCACTCTACGGGCTCATCCCGGGTTGGCACGAGGCCAAACACACTTATGGATATGTGTACTGACTTGACAGCGGTGCCACACGCCAGCCTAAGCAACCCAAATCCTGAAAGGTCCAGGAAAGTCCTAAAGAACCTGGGGGGTCTGTAAGAGGAAGTGAGGCCAAAAGCGTAAGGTCGAAGGCGACGAACAAGTCGAAATGACGACGATCGCTCAAGTCTGCAGCAAGTGAGGTTCTGGGCTTAGCCTCGTGCCATTCCGATTGAAAATGGCAGGTACGTAGTTCTGGCGTCCCAGAACTATATCACTGTGCGACAGATGCGTCTTCGCTGGCTGGAGACATCTGAAGCACACTCCAGCCCCCTGCTAATGAAAAACAATTCAAACGAATCCCTGTGACTACAAGGGGCACACACACACATGCAATAAAATACATACACACAAATGCGGAGCGATGCAGTTTTCCCTTGTCCTTGGGCTACTAAGTGGGTGATGCTTCATGTTATATAACTACAGTTCTGGATGCACCGCAACCACTGACTCCACCAAGCATCTTTGGACTATACCAATTCACACCAGGCCACCCCGTGGATTCACAGCGTGCAAGGCTCCACAGCAGGAGTAGCGCCCATCGTAGTCAGGCTTAGACAAGTGGAAGCGGCAGAACCTTCGGCCGAGGTCGTTTTCCAGGAAAACATTGATTTCGAGATTCCGAAGAACACATGTCACATGACCCTCGAAGTTGGACAGTTCCTTGAGTACCCCCATCTGGTAACGGTCTTAAGCTGGGCCTTCATTCGTGCTGGTGCACACTGAAACCGCAGGGGGATTGAGGCACTCCTGGCTCCGTCCGCACCAATACTGACTCCCGCCGCTTGGCAGGTGATCCGGCACTCTTCTAAACCGGTTTTTTTTGGGGGGGGTCCCTATCAATCAAAGGCCTGCCATATTTATATATATATATACATACAGGTCAATGTTTTGGAGAGCACCAGCAATCATTAAAGGGATATAATATATAGTTATATATAGAAAAGTGAACGCCCTTTGAGGAGAAGAGATCTAAAAGTTGCTCAGAATGTGTTTCCTTCTCGGCTGCATCGCTGAGCTTGGCACTTTTCTTCTGAAGTGTTGGCCGATGGCACGAAGAGCAAGCCACCTGATGTGCGCACATGACGCTGCTTGGACACAGAGCAAAAGGCATCAAGAGGCTGATCTGCCGCGTGAGAAAATGCCCGTACAGTATTCGAGAGGAATGTTGTTCTTGGGTGAACGTGATGTGCGGGCGTGCTGGCTTTCGGGAGGACCTGGACAAATGCCTTTCACTCCTGCAAACAAGGAGCATCTTGCGCAGGTCACATGCAGTTTGTCTCGTCTCCACTTGATCCTCTTCTTCAGCTCTCCATGGTCGTAATCCTCCAGGTACACGCCACCTGTCGCACATACACCCAACCGGTGAAAGAAAGAAAAGCGGCCTCTTGCGCCGATCAGAACAGGCACCCACTGGTGGATCTCTGATCTGGTGAGGAGTTTTGGACCCACAACCATTTGCCGTTTGCCTCACAGGCAGTCCAACACAACCTAAAGCTTGAGATTCTAGCACGCTGAACCAGAGAGACCTGTGCTCGCTGGATGCCCAAGGACTGCCACAATGCACTTCACATCCTGTTGATGCACGAAACCTGATATTGTAAGCCCCAGAACAGATCTTCATGGTTCCCAACTGTCATTCATGCATTAAACAAAAAGAACTGATCCGTCAACGTCCCACGAATTGAAAGTGCTCACCTGCTTGCAACAGACCCGATCTTCACAAGTTGATGAAGCTTGCCACTCTCAGTTGGCAGCTTCCACCTGCGCAAAAAGAGTCGAGGCCAGGCCTTCTTTGACCAGAGCGAAGTAGCCATGGCGCTTGCCCTGCCATGGTCCACCAAGTCTAGAAGAAATGCTGAACAGTCTCAAGTCTCAAGGATCAATCTTTCAGGCAAAGCTGCAGAACTGTCATGCAAAAGAATGTATGTTGAGTAACTAGCTAGCGGCTAGCGACTTAGCCGACACATGCTGGCACCGTGGCTCACTGACAAACGAGCTAACGTAGCAACCTGGAGAGTCAGAAAGAACTTGCGACTCTGACCCACTGAAGTTAAACATATGCCTGGAACTGGGTTTTGAACTATCCACCCAAAGCACATTGCCAGCATCACCTCTGTCCAGGTGCCATAGCCACACCTCAGGCCCCGACTGGCAACCAGGTCCGGTGCGTCAAACCCCCATTGCCCCACGGTGGCGCCAAGGGCAAGAGCCCAATCCTGTGGTTTAAATCCGGCGGGTCTCCTGCTTCTTCAGTCAACACAAGTCGGTCAACAAGAAATCAGGCCGGGTGGTTCACCACGTCAGTATTTGCATATGGCTCGTATCTCTCCATGTGACCCCCAAGGACAGTACAAGATCCATATGATCCATACAATTAACTTACTCAGTACACACCCAAGAAAACAACACATCCACACCCCTCTCACCGGTCCAGGGCACTGCTCTTTGCCGTCCACCACGCTCGCCCACATCCCAGGGCCATCCGCAACACCATCCTGGGAGCGGTGCTGTTTTGAGGCTAAAAAACCGGTCCTGGTCCGGCTGAGTTGGTGCAGAGGACATGGGGAATGGTGGACTGCCCACGTGTGCCTTCATGTCCCCCAAGGCAAAAAATGTGCCGAGCCACTCGCCAAATGGCACAGGCTTGCAAGAAGCCCTCGTGATGCTCCAGAACACCTGGGATCAAGTGATTTCGCAGTGATGTCGCTCAAAAACAAGATCACACAGGACCCGCAGTCAAAACAGAAAAGCCAACGGTACGGCGCTCCGCGGCCCAGCCGCAAAAAAGGCCGGGCACGACGTGTCTCCGGTCCCTACCGTGACGCATCAAGAAGTGCGGTCGAAGCAGCCCCATCCATGCGGTGTGTTGGCGCCTTTCCTCAGATGACGAGACATTCAAAGCAGTGCGCACCATCGAAGGAATATCGAATGGATCCCCTGTTGAGGGCTGCATGTCCAGCTTAGCTGCCCTGGGCTAGCACCATACACCACCCCCCTTGATGTCTATGTTGCATATTGTCTGGTAAAGGTCAAAGACTGTTGTATCAACATTCTGAAGGTATTTTTCTTTCTTTCGTTCGTTTGTTCTTTCTTTCTTTCTGTCTTTCTTTCTTTCTTTATTTATTTCTTTATTTATTTATTTCTTTCTTTATTGTTCTATGTTTTCTTTATTTCTTTCTATCTATCGATCTATCGGTCTATCGATCTATCGATCGAACGAACTTTTTTATCTATATTTGAATGTTTTGTATGTGTATTGGTTCGTTTATGCCGCCTTCCAAAAGTAAGAATAACAGTACACTAGTCGCACATGAGTCCTGACCCACGACCATCACCACCAAATCTCGAACGATCCTTCTCCCCCTCCCAAACGAAAAAAGGATCCAAGGACTTACCACAACTCATCCAGTCAAATCCTCCAGTCCTCCAGTCAAATCCTCCTCCCCCACCACCCTCACCGGCCCGACCGGACGCCGAGGCTCGGCGTGCCACGCGTGAGGCCCGTGAAGGTCTGATCGCGGCCCCAGGCGACCAACTCCTCAGAGCGGAGGAGGAGCAGAGGAGGAGCGGACGGACGGAGAGGGGGAGGAGTGTCTACAGAAAATGCAACCTGTTCTGTTCTGTTCCCTTGCCCTGTGCACTCGCTCGGTCCGAAAGTGCTGCGGCGAGTGCACCTTAGTCTCAAAGCACCTTAGTCTTGCAGTGAAACACCGAAAAGCGGCCAGCTTAATGGCAGGGCAGGGTCAAAAGTTGAATTCAGACTCGGCCACCAAAAGAGAGCCGCGATTGCCTTCTTAACTTCTGTCTGAATCTTCTCTCACCAGCTTCCACTAAGGACCTCATCTGAGAAGCCCGTAGCAATCGCAACCATTTGTCCGGTACACGTAAAGTAATCAGTCTTTCTTGCACAAGTGCATTTGTTACAGCCAAGATAAGCCGAGCAAAATACTTCCAAAAAAAAATTGCCTAGGCTTAGTCAGCTTGGGAGTTCGGGCACACCTACTTGCGATGGCCTCCAACCTACTTGTGATGCCTCCAACCCACTTTTGCGATGGCCTCCAGCCTACTTGCGATGGCCTCCCACCTGCTCGCGATGGCCTCCAACCTACTTATGATGGCCTCCAACCTGCTCGCGATGGCCTCCAGCCTACTTGTGATGGCCTCCAACCTACTTGCGATGGCCTCCAGCCCACTTTTGCGATGGCCTCCAACCCACTTTTGCGATGGCCTAGAGCCTACTTGCGATGGCCTCCAACCTGCTCGCGATGGCCTCCAACCTACTTGT